TTCCTTCCTTCCTTCCTTTCTTCCTACCTTTTCTTTCTTTTGTTTTGTTTTCAGGGTTTCTCTGTGTAGTTTTGGTGCCTGTCCTGGAACTCACTCTGTAGACCAGGCTGGCCTTGAACCCTCAGAGATCCACCTGCCTCTGCCTCCTGAGTGTGTGTGACACTGTTGCCTGGCCTGGCATTGTTCCTTTAAAGTATCACATCACAGGGACACAGCAGTATGTTCTTGATTGGTCGGGAAATCAGGATGATTATAGTGACTCTTATCCTGTGTCTACAGCAGAAACTTGGGACCAAGGACTGTCAGCTGGAATTTGGTGTTCCAGTACTGGATCTCCACAAACTTATGTTTGGAAACTTGCTGCCACCATGGGAACAGTGGCAAGACATTCCAGTCGCTTGAAACCTGTTTGTCCTTTAAAAGGAACTATTTTAGCTTATGTCAAAATGCCCTATGTTCTTTTAGTTGGTGAAGCAAATATTTCTATGAATGGTTCTATGTTTGATGTATCCTGTCTTAATTGTATTTCTCAAATGGACAACCACCCTCGTGTAGTAGTGTTAAAACAACACTCTTGTAATGTTGCCAGTGTATATGAGTGATCCATGGTTTGGTGATAAAGGGTTATAAGTGATTGAAGAGATGAAGAAAGCTTTAAGCAGACAGAAACGTGTTGCTGGGTGAGTTATAGCAGGAGCTGCAGCCCTTGTTATACGCTGCTGCTACTGTTCCTTCGATGCCTTTGTCTCAATTCATCCAGACAGCAGGGTTTGTTAATCAGTTGTCTATGAATGTTTCTATGATATTAGAGATTTAAGAAGATATAGATGTGAAAATGAATTGAATGCTTTGTATGATGGTGCAGTTTCTGGGAGATGAGCTCCAATGCCTAAAAACTGGAGTACATTTGAAATGTCATGCTGATTATGAATGGATTTGTGTTACATCTTCTGTGTATAATGGAAGTGCTATTGGATGGGAAAGAGTTAAGGCACATCTTAAAGGAATTAGGCATGATTCTAATGAATCCTTAGATTTGGCTAACTTACATGAAGAGATTATAGAAATTGAAAAGGCTAAATTGGATTTTGATGTAGTTAAAACAGCTGAAGATATTTTAGAACAGTTTAAAAGGGCTATCCCTTCGTGGTCGTCATTTACTTCACTCTTAAGTAGTGGTGTAGCTATTGGAGCATGTGTCTTAGTAGACATAATCTCTTTGCCTATGATTTTCAAGCTGATTATGAACTCATTACAGAGATTGGGCTCAGAACTCCATGGAATAAAACTCTGCACATTCCTCTGACTTAACACCAGAGGCTGATAGCCAAAGATGGTTAAGTTTTCTTTGCCTCCTTTCAACCTAAGATAGAACATGAATGATGGAATTCATGCTCCCATGACGGGTAAGATAGGAGTGTGGTAAGGAACGACCTAAGACAGGCACAGTCATCTGAGAGACTCACTGGGGTCTTAAAATAAATAAAAAAGGAGGAATTGTGGGATCCCACAAGTGACTCAGTTTCCCAGTTTGAATCTGGTCTATTCTGAGTCAATAGAGTTCAGACTTACTTGCTCCAGGGCTGTCCAGAGGAAGGAACACACTCTTCAGCTAGATGCCGGCTGCTGATGCCAGCTGGAGGTACATGAGATAGACAATGAAACTGCCTGCTGCTTGACACAAGGACAAGATGGATAGCGGTTGGATGCCTGTGCTGTGCATTGTTCTACCTCTGTCCTCCAAGACTGTGTATAAGCTGCCTGTGAAATAAACTCGGGGCTGTCCAACGTTGACTGGCCGTCCTCTTGACTCTGTTCTGTCTTCTTTGTCTCTGCAATGATCAAACCTCTGCCCAGATGCCCCGTGGACACTCATCGGCAGGCTCTGACAGTATACATATTTTAATCTTCCAAATTCTGAGAAATGAAACACATACATCTGCCAAATTTCATTCTTTGTGTACTTTCAGGGTTGCATCCTGCAGGTAATGGAGTTGGTACAGAGGGGACAAGTGGGACGTTTGTTGTTTTACAGTTTCCTTGGCTTGGCGCCAGGTGATGTAAAAGTCCTTCTTCAAACCTTTGCTGTTTACGTGATGTTTCTTATGAAATTCTGAGACGTCTAGCATGTTACCTATTAATAATTGATCAATCTCATCATTACCTTGTGCTGGAGGACCTGGCAGATCCATATGGGATCTGATGTGTGTTATATATATAGGATATTCCCTATTTATAATGACCTGTAATGTATAAATAGTGAATTTACTTATGTGTTATCAGGAATAAATTGAGCAGTTTTAATATGTAAAACAACTATTTCTGCGTATTGAGAGTCAGCAACTATATTGAGAAGTTCTATGAAGTCCAATAGTACCATAAGAATGTGTACAGTTCTGACTTTTGTACAGAATTGTAAGGGCTTTGAACCACTTTATCTTCTGATTTGTATTGTGCCTTTCTGGATTTATTTGTATCAGTATACAGTGTGGGAACTCCAGAAATTGATTTTTGCCATACAATGTGAGGAAGGACCCATTCAGTTTTTTTAAAAATGAATTCTATTCTCTTGCTTTTGGGATAACAGTTGTTAATCTCTCCCAAAGAGTTAATGCAGGCTCTTTGTCAGTATTCATTATCTTTTCATAAATAGATTTCCTCATTAGTTAAAAGTACTACAATTTCTGCTGGGTTCATTCCTGTCAACTGATGAAGTCTTAATTTTCCTTTTAGAATCAAATCAGAGATCTTTTCTACATAAGTCTTTAACTTCTTATTTGATATATGTGGTATAAATATCCATTCCAATATAATATTTTCCCTCTGCATCAAAATCCCTGTATCTGGAGTATCTGGAGGGGAGCATAACCAGAATGCAGTTAAGTTCTGGATTCACACAATCCACATGTGCCTCTCATATTTCCTTTTCTACTAGAGCCAATTCCTTCTCAGCTTCAGCTGATAATTCTCTTGGACTATTTAAGTCCTTGTCCCCTTTTGGGGTATTAGCCACATTTACTAGTCCATCTTTAGGTATTCCAATGGTGTTCTGTAAGTTAGAAATGCTTCCTAACAATGTTTGAAAGTCATTAAGAGTCCACAATCAATCTCTTCTGAGTTGTACCTTTTGGGGTCTAATTTTTTGTGATCTATCTTATATCCTAAGTAATTAAAAGAATTTACTCTTTGTATTTTTTCAGAAGCAATTTGTAGTCCCCAGCAAGGCAATACTTTACTTCTTCAAACATGTTTTCTAAAGTACCTAACTTTGGATCAGCTAATAAGATATTATCCATATAATGGTAGATTATAGATTGTGGAAATTTTGCACAAATTATTTCCAACAGTTTTTGCACAAAAACATTGGCACAGGGTAGGGCTATTTACCATTCTCTGTGGGAGGACCTTCCATTGATCTCTTTTAACTGGCTGGGAATTATTTTAAGTATGTACTGTGAAGGCGAATCTTTCCCTATCCTTTCCTTGTAGAGGTATAGTGAAGAAACAGTCTTTTTGTTTGTTTGTTTTTTGTTTTTTGTTTTTCAAGACAGGGTTTCCCTGTGTAGCTTTGCGCCTTTCCTGGAATTCACTTGGTAGCACAGGCTGGACTCAAACTCACAGAGATCCGCCTCCCTCTGCCTCTTGAGTGCTGGGATTAAAGGCGTGCGCCACCACCGCCCGGCAGAAACTTTTTGTTTTTTGTTTTTCGAGACAGGGTTTCTCTGTGTAGCTTTGTGCCTTTCCTGAATCTTGCTCTGTAGACCAGGCAGGACTCGAACTCACAGAGATCCACCTGGCTCTGCCTCCTGTGTACTGGGATTAAAGGTGTGCACCACCACCACCCAGCTTAGAAACAGTCTTTTAAGTCAATAACTATAATAGGCCATTCTTTAGGTAACAGAGAGGGTAAGGACATCCCAGTCTGTAGGGAGCCCATTGGTTGAATTACTTTATTAACGGCTCTCAGATCTGTCATCATTCTCCATTTACCAGATTTATTTTTAATAACAAATACAAGAGAATTCTAAGAGCTGGTAGGTTCTTCAATGTGTTGAGCATTTAACTGCTCCTGAACCAACTGTTCTAAGGCTTGTATTTTCTCTTATGTCATAGGTCATTGTCCAACCCAGACAGGCTTATCAGCTGGCCATTTTAAAGGTAGGGTCGTTGGTACCTCTGAGAGTTCAACAGAAGTTGTGCTCTGTTTATGTATAGCCTGAATGGTTGATGGCTATTTTTTACAGTATCTTATAATATTATTCCCAGATACATGAATTGGTCTATATTCCACTTCTGAGCTTAGAGGTATTCCATTGTTATAACAGA